GCTATTTTTTAAATAGTTCAAATTATCCAACCTTTCATGTCGGTACAACGATACAACTGCAGCTCTTTTTTAGGTGCGTGTGCAGCAAATGCTCAGCAGCGAACTTGGAAAGTGCCAGAGAGTACCGTTGCTGCCATGAAGTGGCACCTGCTTATGGAAAAGTCGTTTTTAACCGCCAGTCGTTTCAACGGTAAATAAAGTGTGTGACCCTTCATGAAGACTACAGGGCTTTTACAAATTTAAATGTCCTTATAGTCAGGGCTGTTAGCCAAAATGTTGTGCAAAATCGCATACCAGCATGAAACTTCGTCCACAAGGGTAGTTTTGGGCGCTGAACAAGATAGGATGCAGACCCCAGCTGAGAAATGCCCCAAAATGCTATTTTTAGACTGTTGTACTTGTTCCCAGGCCCCAAAAGTGTTTTTTGTAAAAATACTGCTGCTAGTTGTGATACCAGCATGAAAATTAGAAGAAATGGGGCAGTTTGGTATGCTTAAAAAGATAGGATGCATACCCCAGCTGAGAAATGCCCCCAAATGCTATTTTTAGACTGTGATACTTGGTCCCAGGCCTCAAAAGCGTTTCTCTTAATAATACTCTTGCTAGTTATGATACCAGCATGAAAATTAGAAGAAATTGACAGTTTGATATGCTCGAAAAGATAGGATGCAGATTCCAGCTGAAAAAAGCACCCAAATGCTATTTTTAGACTGTGATACTTGGTCCCAGGCCCCAAGAGCGTTTATCCTAATAATACTGCTGCTAGTTGTGATACCAGCATGAGTGAAGCCTTATGTGCTGATGTAGGTAATGAATCAGTTATGCGTGTTCCGCTAATGAGCATACTGATGAAAGTGACAAGAGATGGGGGTACTGAAGCTTTTTGAGATGCAAGAAATTGGGAAGGGTCCTCAATCTTATGCGAAAATACATGTTTTCTAATGATATTGGCAGCTTTAGAAAGGCAAATTCCATCATCCTGGTCATTCTCTAGACATGCCTGATAAATTGCGGTACAGGTTTCTTCCTTGGGTGTTAGGAGAACATTGTTTCCTTGCTTTTCTTCCTCGAGCTCTGGGATGTGATGTAAGATGTCATTCTTCAAATGAGTACTGTGCACATTCTTTACACTTTCTGCAGTAGCACCATGCGCCACAAGACGATCGCAAAAGAGCTTTTTGATACAGCTTAACTTGAATACGGAAATATTCTTGGAAGATTCTACCATGTCCCTAAGATAATCAATAATCTCAGCCAACACTGCCCCTTTTCTAATAGCGTCCTCTGTTTCGTGAACAGATTTTGTTCGATGAAAGCTTTTCAGACGGTTGTAAAGAGCGGCAAGGCATTGCTTGTGATATCGGGCCTCAACTGCTACCATGTCACCTTCGCTTAACTTGGCTAAGAGTTTTTCATCAAAGAGCTCTTTTACCGCGTCACAAGTGTTTGAGCGTTTGTCAAATTCACTTCCAAATCATCCTTTTCACAAAAAAAACACCTAACTTTGAAATTATCTGCGCTGTACCTTTGGCGTGTGCTAGGTGGGGCCTGAGCGATTTCAACATCAGCTGTTTCTTTCTTTTTTTCCTACATACCCTTTGGTAATGGTAGTCGTCATATTTATTTTTGCAACGCTTATGAAATTTTTCCTCATTTTGCAAAAGATTGCCAGCTAATACCTCGTTGCTTGTTAAGCCTGTCCTTGTATCAAGGAAATAAGGAAGCTCACCAATGCCCTGAAACCTTTTAAGCTGTTCTGCAATGCTTTTGTATCCTGAACCTTTATCGGAGTGAGTGCCTTTCCTTGCTGGACATTCTAGTACCTCTGATGTCGCTTCTTGGCAAAAAAACAACTTTCCCAATTTGTCTCCAGTATTTCTTTGCTCATTGAACTAGGTCTGGTCAACTCGCTATGGGGGTTAACCAGTTGAAATATTTTCTTAGACATTTCCACGTATCATTGTCTTATTTCTTAAAAAAACGTATATGAATTGTTTGCAATTTCGATGGCCCCATCGCTATTGTTAAACAAGACAACAGATCCTATCACTAAGGTAAACTTTTGAAGGAAATGGAATGAAACCATTACAACATCCGGTTCATTTACTGGGTTTGAAAAGGAAGGTATCAGATTTCTTCCACTAAAATTCTGTTCGATTACTTTTTTAAATTATTTAAGCTGGACTGCACAAAACCTTTATCAATATTCTGCAGGAGAATGAAAAAAGATTCTTAATTCCCTATGTAAATTTCCTTCGAAAACCAAAATAAAAGAGTTTATCAAAGTAATAAGGATAACCACTTCCGCGGACTTGGACCTAGGACAGTGGTCTAAAAATAGCACACAGGGGCAGTTCTCAGCTGGGGTCTGTATCCTATCTTTTCGAGGATATCAAACTGCCCTTTTCCTCTAACTTTCATGTCGTTATCACAACTAGCGGCAGTATTTTTACAATTAACGCTTTTTGGGCCTGGGACCAAGTACAACAGTCTAAAAATAGCAATTTGGGGCATTTCTCAGCTGGGGTCTGCATCCTATCTTTTCGAGCATATCAAACTGCCTTTTTCTTCTAACTTTTATGTTGTTATCACAACTAGCGGCAGTATTTTTACAATTAACGCTTTTGGAGCCTGGGACCAAGTACAACAGTCTAAAAATAGCATTTGGGGGCATTTCTCAGCTGGGGTTTGCATCCTATCTTTTCGAGCATATCAAACTGCCTTTTTCTTCTAACTTTCATGTTGTTATCGCAACTAGCGGCAGTATTTTTACAATTAACGCTTTTGGAGCCTGGGACCAAGTACAACAGTCTAAAAATAGCAATGGGGGGCATTTCTCAGCTGGGGTCTGCATCCTATCTTTTCGAGCATATCAAACTGCCTTTTTCTTCTAACTTTCATGTCGTTATCACAACTAGCGGCAGTATTTTTACAATTAACGCTTTTGGAGCCTGGGACCAAGTACAACAGTCTAAAAATAGCAATTGGGGGCATTTCTCAGCTAGGGTCTGTTTCCTATCTTTTCGAGCATATCAAACTGCCCTTTTCCTCTAACTTTCATGTCGTTATCACAACTAGCGGCAGTATTTTTACAATTAACGCTTTTTGGGCCTGGGACCAAGTACAACAGTCTAAAAATAGCATTTGGGGGCATTTCTCAGCTGGGGGTTTGCATCCTATCTTTTCGAGCATATCAAACTGCCTTTTTCTTCTAACTTTCATGTTGTTATCACAACTAGCGGCAATATTTTTACAATTAACGCTTTTGGGGCCTGGGACCAAGTACAACAGTCTAAAAATAGCATTTTGGGGCATTTCTCAGCTGGGGTCTGCATCTTATCTTGTTCAGCGCCCAGAACTACCCTTGTGGACGAAGTTTCATGCTGGTATGCGATTTTGCATAACTCTCTCAAAATCTGAGGCTAACAGCCCTGACTATTAGAAACGTTGGTCCATTGCTTTGGAAAAAGGATGGAAAGCCCTACAAGAAAAGGGCAAATGTAACAGAAAATGAGTATGTACAAAGTTTTATTGTCAAGTTTAGGCTGAAATAGATAGACATCAAATTTGATCCTTTTTGTTGATTCATAATTGATCTCTTTTAATGAAAGAAGTATGTGTACATATATAACATAGTATATACTAGTATGCTAATATTTATACTAATTAACCAGCATTTTATACTGATACTACATAAATTGCATAAATATATATATATAATAACTAAACTTTTGTTTCACAAAAAACAAAAACGTTATAAAGAAAAATGTTTTAGAAAGACCATGGCAAAAGATAATTTATTATTTTTCTGGAACGTGTTTCGTCATTTTAACGAGAAATCATCAGCCTATTTAAATATCTATGTGAGTTCTATGTTAATTTACTGTAGACATCTCTAATTTGAAGTTCATTTACTGAATATATATATATATCTAAATATCTGAATATATATATACATATCTAAATATAGTACATAAATTTATATATGATATATATATATACACATATATATCTATATTATTGGTATTTTTTTTCTGTATTAGGTATCTTCATGCAGTTTCTTATCGCTGGTTAGCACGCTGGATATTTGGATACATGGGATGGGACAATACACGGCCTCTGCCTGCATGCATTTATCATAACGTCCGTGAAAAGCCAGAAGATTGGATATAAAATGCAGAAGAACGTAACTAATAACATAGATTATCTTCATACAATTAGCTTTTGTTATATTTAATTTCGTGCAAGTGTATATAATTCTTTAAGTCATTCTTTGCATAAAGTCTTAGAATGTCCTTTCATCAATTCGCCACATTTTTTGCATGAAGGGGCCTTTCTTTTTGGTAAACGATCAACTCTGTTGCATGCTTGCTCAGCTACCAAATCTTCTTAGAGTTTGTATTGATCATTTTCTGGTAAGATAAACATTGATTATTAAATTTAGAATAAAAAATGGCAAAATTTTTCATCATACAGTTTTAATGATTTATCAACTAAACTTTAAATGAAAAGGCAAATAAAACGTTATTTTCTGGCCAATTAAGTATATTACCTGAAGGGTATAATGGTTGAAATAGTGTTCTCCTTTTTTTATATTCTTTTACAGCCTCTTTCTTACTTTTTGTTCTTTCAAATCTGCTCACCAAGGATGCAGGCATCTTATCAGCATACTTTTTCCAAATCTGGCCAAGTTCTTCTTCGTTTGATTTAAATAAAAGTTCTTTTGTATGCTCAACGTAATCTGAAATAATTTTTTTGAAAATATAAAAGCAATTATTTTGGATATTAAACATAATCTGAAATAATTTCTGTAAAAATGTATAAAACTAATATTTTATCTAATATATTTAAACTAATATCAGTTCTTGAAAAATACAATAGCATTTCTCATCTCCCATTTCTCAGGGCAAAATATGAATTGATTTTCTTTATATGGCAACATTATGTAGATTATATGTTGTATGCTGTCTTCTCACTGTAAGATGGAGGGACTGGAACAGGTTTTACTGCTTCTTCGCCAAGTTTATATTTAGGATAAGAAACTTTGAGATATTCCTTTCCATTTTTGTCTTTTTGTGCTTCCCTGTGCAGGTTTTCGTTGAAATGTGAAACTGCCATTATATGCCTTGGAAAAAATATAACAGTTCTTTGTTGGGTATTTGGATACATTTTCTGTTTGACTCACAAATGAAGTTTAGTTTTATTTTGTTGATACTGATACAAATAAAAATTATACATTTATGTAAAGTAGGCTGTGTTTTTGCTAGGAATGGCATTCAAATACTGTTGCACACGTTGGCACTTTCTTAAAGTGCAACTATGGTCAAATCTTAAAATAGGCTTAATGTACAATTAGAACATGCTCATTGCGAATATGGCCATTAAAATTTCATCACGCCTTTAGAAATAGGGTAAAATCGCCCCCAAACGTGGCTCAAATTTGCACAAAACAGCGCTTGTCTCTTGGGGCCTGGGTAGTGGCTCGTGACGTCGAAAACAGAACCAAATTTCATTGATTCCGTAGCACAAAACAACACCCATTGCTGGTTTCTGGAAAGGCAACTGCACTCATCATTTTTGAGTTATTGGAAACTGCACTCGTCATTTTTGAGTTATTGGAATTCGGAAAAATTTTCTTATTAGTATGCTATGGATTTTTTTTGATTAAACTGATGATTCTCTGAAATTATTGGAAACAATTTGTTGCTACGATTAACGTAGTTTCGTTGCCTACCTTGGCCTAGGCCACCGTTGTCGATACGACCACTGGCTGACACGACCAGGCGTAGATGAAATAGTGCGGCTGACTTACGGTGAAGAAGTGTCTAGCAGTTATAAGAGTAAAGCCATTTGTGAAATAATGTCGTTGTCACCTCGTGGGCACCTTGTATCTTCTCTGTGTAACAACAGCGACAGCGTAACAACAGTTGCGTAACTAACAATCATTCGCATAGTCCGCTGGTGCTACAGTGTAAACGCCAATCAGAGTGTTTCCAAGGATGGCAAATTCAGATTCTGAATCCTCACAGAAGAGTTCGGAAAACAGTTCACTTTCAAATTATGATGAAGAGGTCGAATATATGGACATCTCTGGCCCAACAACAACATCTAAAACCAACCATTTCAGTGATCCCGACTGGGTTGAGCCGTATGCTGATGAACCACTAGCTGACGAAGAATGGTTGCGAAACTATCTAGCTAAAAAGGTATCCGATCAGAAGAGGTACCATGAATTTGAACAGCGCTTGAAATTGGCTATTTCTTTAGACCAATGGTAAGCAATATTCAGCCTAATTTTTTTCAAGTATCCGTTTATCTAGTTACATAAATTAATGGAGCCTTACTTAGGCCAATTTCTATGCGAGGGACAGGACATGCGAGGGACAGGACAGCTTCAATGCTGTCACAATGAACTTGCAAAGACGGAAATTTGCAGAGAACCAGCCTAATTTATATATAAGTGGTTCATAGAAATAAATATATTTGTTAATAACGAGAACTAAGCTGACGTGAGAAAATTTTTTCTACATGCTGGCCAATACTTCTTTTGGTCAGAATCGAGCTCCAAGTTGCTGCTTCAAAAACCAACCACCATTCAACTGAGCCAAATGCTCAAACGAATCAGATTTATTTTAAGCAAGTAATTTAAGTCATATACAGCTTGTTACTACATTCTTAATAGATTCTTAATTCATAGACATAAACACTGAAACAATGGGTTTAATAAATCTTTATTAAAACATAATAGATGCAAATGTGGGCTCTGTGATGTTAGCCTCCTTAAAAATCCAATGGAGTGTTACTGCTGCAAAGAAATACCAGAATGCACTAATACTTTGGAGGATGACTTGGTCCAAGCAGAGGTTGGTAGCCCTCCTAGTTGCATCACATTACACCGTGGATTTGCAGCATGTTGTCTGTCAAAGTGGTCCCTCAGGCTTGCTTCCACCAGGTACAAAACCAGGCAAAAAAGGCAATATTTGCAGCTGCGGTCAAACAAAGCGTAAGGATAACATAGTTATTTGTCTACATTGATAACATATATCTATCCTAATTGATATATTGTTCCAAAGCTTTTCTTTTTTGCACATTAAATATAAATCAAAAGTTTGAATTTTTTCATTTTCTAGCTTTCTACGTGCTGTGGCATATCGTGAATTTACGCGACTAGTGCATGGGGTAATTGGGAGCAAAAGAACACCTTTGCCAGCTTGTGCGAATTTCTCCAAAAGAAATGTATTCAACACAGATGAAGAATACACAGGATTCGAAGATCTACCAGCCGAGTGACAAGAAATAATAGGGATTTCGTTTTTTTATTTATTGTAACTCTTTAGCAATAAAATTTTCTATGAAAATTGATTACAGTCATTTGAAAACTAATTTTTTGAAGAATTTGAAAGCTAATATTGCATAAGTAATTTCTCCTAATTTGACACTTTTCAGTAGTTTTGTTCCTTTCCTTGTCCTGCAATTTTTTTCACTTTTCTACACCTATGATTTTTTTGAAAAAAGAGTGGTTTCAAGTACATACATTGTAACAGGTTTCACATTCAGAAAACGATCAGAAATTAAACCCCCCAAGCCACTTGTCCTACAATACTGACGTTGAAATACGAATATTCCCATATGGCGAAACACTCTCTCAATTTTTGCCCATGTTGCTCCAGCTGTCACTACTGCAAAGGTCAACAAAAGATCGGCAGCAGGCAGTTTTGTTTTTTCAAAAAAGGGCTGACCTTTCCAGACATTTTCTCTTTTATTGCACCTACTGTTTCCGCAGATTGTTTTCACTTCCACCATTGTCCCATTTTGCCTTGTTTCAATGAGCGGATCGTCTGCTTTGCATGCAGGGCAGAAAGTAAACAAAAGCAGGAGATTTGAAAGAAAAACAATGAACTTTGATTGCTCTCGTAGATTTCTACCATCTTCTATGTCAATATAAGGGCTGAAAAAGAGATAAAATATAATTAGATAAATGACTGTAGGCAGACTGCTACATACTGATGTTCCATACATTTTTTAGTACAGTGTTAATAATATGGTTCTTGATTTTTGAGAATAATTGTTAGCAATAGATCAAAATAGCTCAAATGCTTTATCAAAATAGGAAGAATGCATACCTGGTTTCATTATCTATGACATATTCCTCATCATTTTCATCCTCAGTTTCAAAGAAATGTATGTCATCTTCAGTGTCCAAATCTTCTTCCTCAATCTCCTTAGTGGCAGAAACAATCTTTGGCGGATTGGCTTTTAATGCTTGCTTGCTCTTTTGATACCTCAGTCTCCACTGCAGCAGCCTCCACTTTCTCTTCCATAGCGTCAATTTATTCTCCACTGATTTCAGCTTTGTACATGATATGCAAGGAGATTCAGCTTGACACCCAAAATCGCGTTGCTATGGAGACAATGTGCTTATAATATATCTGCAGAGACTTGCTTGCAAACTCTACTTAACAGAATTTTCAGCAAAAATTGACACATCCAGTTAAAATTGATCAAATAATGTAAATTGGGATAGATTCAAGGGTGCAGCAAATTTAAATAAAAATTCCCGCTTCTTTAGGAAAAGTTTATGTGATATTTTTATGTGATAATTTCAAATATAATTATAACTTGTTAATTCATACTAAATATATCCCTATGCATCCTTGATAGCCAGCCAACATTACCTTTTGAACAGCTGACTCATCTGAAAGCTGCACATCCTGATCAGATTCACTGGCTGCTTGTGGACTGTCCTCATCTTCTGCATCTCTTTCAACCTCTTCTCTAATTAGAACAGACTTAACCAACTAGAAAATAAGTTTACAAATTAAAGTCAAAAGAACTAGAAAATTATCTCCATATATGTGTTTTTGCCAGAGGTGTATAGAGGGCCTCCCAAAGTTAATTTGTCAGTCAGTAAAATTGCCTGCTGGAAGGTAAAATAGTGAAAATTGCCTTTATCTTTGCACCAAGAACATGCCATGATTATCCTTACACAGTAGGCCTATCTGACCAATTCCTGGCCAGGATTGTTATTTTTCTTTGCAAAAACGTTAAATGTTCCAGATAAACTTGATTATAATTGAAATTTATTTCATATTCCTTACTAATATAACCATTTACTGGGTTTTGCGGTTATATATTGCTGAACATAATAGAGGAAAATGGGCCTAAGAAAACACTACATATGCACCATTCTTCGGACACGCTTCGAAGCCATGTTTGCTGCTGTCTCTTCTGGGTAAACTGATGGCACGGAAACGATTCCAAAATCATCTTCTACCAAACGTCTTTTGATGTTCAGGCTCGTTCCAGGCAAAACAGCAAAACGATTAACAAAATCGTCGGGAAGGAAGTGAGCTGAGCAGATCAGCGACGACTTTGTTGCTGCCCACTTGGCACCCCTTTTCTGTACAAAACCTATCCATTTTTGTCGCCTTTTCTTTGCTTCTGGTCGCTCATCGTTAAAAAATGGAATACGATGCAACAAAATTCCTTTATCCAAGTCTTTGACATTGGAACATCCCGCCACAACACATCGTTCGGGCATTTTGAAAGAGCAACAATTTCTTACTTCGAGGATAAACAAATGTGTGTGGTTCTGGGTGTTTTGGTAACTATGCGTTCTGGTTTCTACGTCACGCCACTTTAGTCACCAGATCGCTAATGAGCGCAGTTTGGTGCAAGAAAAACCGCGAAATTTCGAAATTTCCAGTCATTTTCCACAAAAGTGGTGCAAAAAATTGATAAAAAAAATAATTTAATTTTCGAAAAAAGCACTTCAAAATTAATTAAACTTGAAAAAATTGTTTCCGGCCATAGTTGCACTTTAAACTCTCTAGAAGTACAATTTACAGGAAGCAACAATATCCAAAATTTAAATTTCAGTTATTTACTCAGTGTTGACAAATTTTCTCAGCAATTAATTTTCTCCAAAGATAGCTTGGCAGGTAGTAAAGATAGTATAGTGAAAAACAATACAATGCACAATGCTCAGTAATTTTTAATTACTGATTGGTATCTCTAGTCATAAGTACCTGCACAGAGAGCCAATCCAGGAGTAATGTGTCATTTTTGGGTGCCATTGGTTCAGTGTAGAGTGGTAACCCTCAAGACAGCTGGTTTGTGCATTTGATGACAATTTCGCAATGTCTTGTAGAAGGCTTTGATTCATTAGAATTGGCTGAATCTTGTCATATGCAGTAGTTCCTGTTGAATTACATATATTTAATACTATTATTTTATGTTAGCTGTTAAGGAGAAGTATATGGGAAGTTTAACAATCAGCACAATTGTTTATTTTCTTAGGTTTCAAAATTGATGCAAGACCATTTAGAATCTTTAATGAACGGTGTTTGCGTCTCTTTAAAAAAACCATTAAATTATGAAAGGGGCTACATTTTGTATAAAATGCAGTGATTTGACAAAATGATACAAACCATTGAGAATCCATCTACGTTTATGATCTAGTTCTCCATGTGCACACCTCTGAAACAGTTTGTCTTCGTGGTTGTTGTGCTTGTTCTGGATGTGATTTGAGAAAGCCTGCCACAATGAGTTTCCCAAAACCTTCCTTTGTCGATGTTGCACACCAGTAGAGGTGGTTGCGGATTGCTGAACACCAGGTACCCAATATCTCACAATTTCTCTCCTTGCTAGCTATTGTTACATTCTTGGTTAAGGTACGTGCAACATGCCAAATATCATAATAATGATAGACATGTGGTAAAGACTCCCTTATCCATTTGGCCACTCAGTGTCTGTCTGATATAAAATTGGAGACCTCTATCCCGGCATCATTTAGGTATCCAAAACATCGCTTAGCACCAAGCAACTCCATATTGGAACTACCTTTGCATTCATTTGACTATACAGGAAATAAAATAAAGAGGGTGAAAATGTACATCAGTTTAATTCAAAGTTGAAATTGATGTCAGGTTATTAAACACACAGATATGAAGATACAAGTTTATGCTTGATGACTTATAACAACAGTATTTAATTTTGTCTACAAATAGACACATTTGAAGTCCAATCCAGTTTTATAAGGTCCAAGACTTGATATTTGACCTTGTTAATGATTTTTTAATGCTAGATATTTGATTCCATTTGAAAACAATCTTATTAATTAACTTACTTTAAAAATTAAGTTTCTATCTTTTCATGTGGCATGTACCGAATCTTTCGAAATAAAGAAAGGAAATTGTTAAGTTTGGGCTTTCTGTAATAAGTCACTTACAAATAAATTAGATTGATAGAAAAAATTGTTTATGATTTTTCCATTACCTGAACCAATTCAAAGTGTATGATTTTTTTTATATTGTCACAATACATCGTGTAAGTGCCATATTTTGCTGAATGCCCCATCGAGTCGACCATCGCCACATAGGACAATGTTTTTAACACCATGAAGCTCAGTCAGCAATGATGCTCTATATAGCTCCCAGTGACGGAGAATTGCAGGGAAAACAAACTTTTTTTGATGACGGAAAAAATTATGTGCACTGTAAGTGGCAAGGCCGAAGTGTCTGAAAATTAATAGCAGTTTGTTGATTGATGCTCCTGCTGTAAGAGTGCTGAGACTAAGCAAGATGTTACCAGCTGGATAACGACCAAGAACGTATGGTTGTGACCTCCATTTCCAACAGTCTTTCCCACATTCGATGCAACTCTGATAAACAGTTACCATTGTCCCATTCTGCTCCATTCTGACTCCTGGCTTATTTTTTTTACACTTGAAACAGAGGATTGAAAAGACTTGTAGTAGCATTGTATAAAATACAATAAACTTGGGTTCTTTTTCTGGAGTTGCATTTTGGTCAATTCTGCGATAAAGATACAAAAAAGATATATATTAATGCATTTCCCTGACATTCCCTACATCTCATAAAAATGATAATTTTGTCAAAATATTATACAACATATGGAAGGGAAAAAAGGACTTTTTGTTATTTGTTGCTTGGCTAATGAAAAATTGGCTCAGCAGAATATGTAGCATTACCTCACTTGTTGCCTCTTTTTATGTGTATCATCATAATCATAATCATCAAAATCAGTCCCATCATTATCTGACATGTCACTAGGAGAACTGTCTGCTTCATCAACTTTCCATTCGCTGTCATTTCTTGCACATCATTGCCACCTGTATTGCCGTATGTGTCCTAATATTTCCTTGAACCTCTTCTGGTTGAGGGGTTATGCATGTGGGGCATGTGTGTACGGGGGCACCTGTCAGATGAACTTGGCACTGCAATGGAACAACGTCTACATGTTCTTCAGAATCGTTGTGCTGTTCCCCGATGGTGAAAGAGTCTCCAATTGTGAACGCATTTTCGCCTACCTCAACCTCTTCTATCTCTTCATTGAACTGTCCTGAAGCACATTCATTTCTGTTAGCGTGTTCGTGCTGTTTGATTCCTCTTAACAACTAAAATTGAGGAAATGGTAAATTTTAAGAAACTAATATATAGTTTGTTAAAACACTTTATTGAAAAAATTACGTAAACCTTGAATCTGAGAATGATGAGAGTCATTTTCATAGAGACTGTACATAGATAAAGCTCAAAGGTATATTTTATACTCACAGTTCTTCTGTTTCTTGCCACCTTTGAAGACGATTCACTAAATGCCTGGCTTTGTCCTCGTGTGTTGAATACAGTTGGAATACCATCCTTTTTTAAAGTCCTCTTCGTTTTGGAACTGTCAAAACCAGGAAGCTCTAAAGCAAACGGTTTTTCATAGCAAGAGCGCTCAAAATGATCTGAGCACAGGTAAGGGCCGATCGAGTAGGCTTGGTGATTGAAATTGGCATGATGTCTTCTGACGAAACGAATCCATTGCCTCCGCAAATCGAGGTTTTTACTTGGAAAACGGTGCATACTAATACCTGACGTCAAAATACTGTTTGTACACCTCTCCCCATTTGATAATCCGGCAACGCAATATTGCCCCCCCACGTCTCACTTTTTTGTTTGTCGGCCTTGTAGATTCTTGTTCTTGCATACTTATTGATTTGAATTCGAAATCTTGTTTCTAATCTCGTTGTTTTGAGCTGATGTTCTGAACTGAAAACTGCCTGAAAGCATCTGACACCCCTATTTTATACTTTTGTGAACTCGAAAGGTTTTTTCAATTATTAAAAAGTCGGAAATCTCAATAATTAACACACATAATAATGCATACAAAGATTAGTATAGAAGTTGAGGGACGTGACAACATTATTGTGCAAGCTATTGGCAAACGTAAATCCTCCAAAAATTACCTTTACGAAATTTCCTGAATACGTATTCAACAGTTATTCAAAAAAGCTGATAATTTGTCACAGAAGTAAACAACAGGAAATTATTGCAAGCGGATTTCATTTCGCACTTAAGTTTGGTTTCCACTATGGGTTAACGTGAGATAATTCTGAGCTAAATTGAAAATTAACTCATGGTCTAAATTCAAGTTAACTTGAGATACTGTGAAATAGCGTGAGATAACGCGAGCTATCTCAAAATTAACCCATGTTACCGATTCGGTTTCCACTTGAGATAGAATTAAGTATTGAAATTTCAGAAATCACATTTTATTTGAGTCTTGCAGCTATGGCGGGCGTCTTACAAGAACAACTTATTTTACTTCTGCTTTTGAGAATACTTAGAAGGAAAATATTTTTTGCTAGAAGTGCTGTTCGCGATCTGCGCCAAGGTTTTCGGTACGGAGAGTCTACCAAAAAAAGATATGCGTTTGGTGAATACGACCACTTGCAACAGGATCTTAGAAATGAGAAAATGTTTCTCTTATTTCACAATTAATTTTTTTGGTAAAGAAAACTGTTTTCAACATCTAAAGTAATACTCACTGCAAGTGCGTTGCGTAAGAACCTCAGTGCAAATTATAGCACATTCCCCTACCACGCATTGGCTTCTTTTGATAAGATGTTATCTCAAGTTAACTCATGAGCTTGAAATCAAAAAATTTTGTTTCCAAGCTCATGAGATAACGTGAGTTAACACGAGTTAATTTTCATGAGATAATTTTTAATGACCGTTTCCACTATGAGATAATTTTTAAACCATGTCAGATCACAAAATTATCTCAAATTAACTCATGTTAACTCATAGTGGAAACCAAGCTTTAACGTGTAGGTGGCAATCTAACACAACAAAGCACTCTTATTCTGTCCAACATCTGACGTCACAGACTTCTGGCGCCAAATTTCTGACCGCGTTCAAATTTTGCCATCGAAGTATGCGAAATTCCGAATTTAAAACCGAATATTTCATGAACTAGATATCGTATCGAAAAAAGGAAAAAAGTTTTGAAATCTGCGTGTTAAACTTGGTTGAAATAAACCTAATATCCTCTTTAACAACTGCATTACTAATTGGGGTTGTCAGACACGAAAGGGCATGATTTGCAAGCTCCCAAAATGCACTATTTCCTAGTAGGTTGCTATATTCCAGTATTCCTACCCAAAAATGGACAACATCTGACGGAATTCCATTTGCAAAAACAGATTCCTCACTCCAGTTAACATGCAATATACTTCTATATTGGGAGTCAATCGTGGACATACACTCTTTAATCGAATGCAGCATTGGAAGTTGGGCCAAGGGCACTCTTTCTAATTGGCTTAAAATCCGGGATGGGCGAAGATAGCTGAGAGCGTTGAAGTGATCTTTTGAAGCCGTGTGTAAACTTGTTGAGCTGCCTCTAGTAGCATTGAATGGCATCTTGATTTGACTTCATCTATCTTTCTAATCATTTCTCTGTCTTGGTTGTGGAGGCGAACTAGTGCAGCAATTTCAAACTCAAACTTTGCACCAAAATCAACGAAAATGTTTGTAACGTCAATCCGAAGATCTCTTATAACACAGTGGAAAAACAATTCAACTCAATGACCAATTTACAAACGCTTATGACTACAAAACGGTAAGAGATATGAAAAGAATAATTGCAGATTCGTTTTCAGGGGGTCTGATTACATCGTGTTATGAAATAAAAATTTTGGGCTGGAGTGGCCCTTTAACTAACTTACCAGTTATCCACTTACCAGTTATCCAAAGATCACAAAAAGTTTCTGTTTGCTTGTATCTGGGGACAAGTGGTAATAATAATAATAATCCAAACGGAATTTGCTGCTTAAAAATTCAATTGTTGCATCAAGTAAGGTGAATGTCATGTCATTTGATGAGAATTGCACAGGTTCTTTATTCAGTTTAAAGTTGACAAAGCAAAGATTTCCCTTGTGCGAATATCCATTACATAGGGCATCCATTACATCACTTAATATGCATTACATAGGGCATCCATTACATCACTTAATATGCATTACATAGGGCATCTTTTCATGTTAAGATAAAGCCAGTGAATGATTCAGAAATGTGGCATTTAGAAATAGTTTCACTGCAGCGAGACCATGCATGCAATAGGAGAGTTTTTTGACCAAATTTCCAAAGAAGTCGAGGATAAATTTCGTGATCTTAAGATTATAAAAGAGAAGTAGTTATCTAATTGCAAGAAGTCAGCTTAACAAAATAAAATACTTGGATTGTTTACAGCTCTAGGAGAGCCTTTCCATCCATTCAAAAGGATTGCGTTCCTACCAACCAAAAAAGTTCTGTCATTTATGAATTTACGTGCCAGTGTGATTCTGGCTACGTAGGACGCAAAAGATTGGGGGATAGGATAAAATAGCATGTTCCTTCCAAGATAAGAAACAAAACTGCCCCTCAAAGGGAACAGCCTCCTCGAACTTGTAGGTCTAGAACACTGTTAAAACAAGTTATTCTGCCATTGGTCAACCTCTTTTAGAGACCCCAGATTGTCCGAAACTCTATAATGACAACATGTTTCGGAAAATTGGCAGAGCCTGGTCGTCCTAGAGCATACACCAAACGACCAAGTGGCGAAATCTTGACTCCTCTTAATGGTAATGATTATCCAATTAAAGGTAAGGGTTTTGCCACAACTAGATTACATAAGAACTTATGTTTGTTAATCATACACCAAACGATCAAGTGGCGAAATCTGGACTGCTCTAAATGCAAAAAAGAAACTTGAGAGCAATATTTCCATCATCAAGGAAACCATGTTGTACACTCTTACATAAGAATATAAAGGGATAGAACTGAACAAACATTTCAATTTTTCTTTAACATAGCTTCTAAGACGTTTATTCAAACTGAACTTGGTAAGTCTCTTTAAGTATATACTTTTTTAATTATATTCATCTTTATCTCGAAATTCATATTTATTTCCAGTCTACCTTCTATCTCTACACCAAAAAACGTTCCAAATTTAATATTAAATTCGAACATTTTTAGAATAAGCAATTTTTTGTACCAAAATGCTATTCCCAATGCATTTTCACATGTTTGAATGAATCTCATTTCTTCACTCTATTTTCTCTTTTCACCAGCAGATAATTTGCCTTGCATTTATCTGGGCTAAAACAAGACACTTTGTAACTCAAACATGTTTCCGGTAAGCAACTCTTTCCTTAAACTAAAATGCTAATCACATTACATATTTCCATATATGAATGAATCTCATTCTTCCCTTTACAATACATTGATTTGGTCACATCAAAATTTGAAATTCTTTCCTGTCGTAGCTCTAGATGATTAAGTTCCTCCTTGGGTTCTTATTATTGCACGATGGAAACCAACACAACCCACATTTTTTCAAACACTGCCATGCAGATAAACAGACTAAGACTGATGATTAAATGTTTAAACCAGGACCTGAAAGAAAAGGTTAAAATATGGAAAGACAACAAAAAGAAATTGTGAAAATGAAAGGCCACCTTATGTCTGCGGAGGCTAAAATTGCCACCGTAGAAAAATCCTTAAAATTCTTGAAAAAGGAATTCGAAACAGAAGAGGTGATGCTCTCTGATCTGGGTGACACCAGTAAGAATGAACAGCTTCTGTTTATGGCATAAATGGAGGTGTCAGAATAACCTCACCCTGGCCCTTCTTCAGCAACCGACTAGCTTGCTCTTCAGCAACCGACTAGCTTGCTCTTCAGCAACCGACTAGCTTGCTCTTCAGCAACCGAACAGCAGACGTGCAGGCCCACCATTAATGCTGCAGTAAACAACCTAATGTACAACAAATGTTCAATATCTGCTACCTTAGGTACTTCAAACTCCCTAAACCTTAACAATATATCAAATAACAAAGGTGTGAATGGTGGGCCTACATGTAAACAATTATTAAGTGAGTTACCTGTTTTTCTTCTTTCCGATCTATATGGGTTTCAAATTTAAATGATGATCTCAAGATAAAGTTCTTCCAGTCAACTGTTGAAAGTGTTGTTTTATGGCACTGAAACCTGGAAGATGACAAAAAAATGAGAGATCGTCTTGATGGTACTTACACGAAAATGCTGAGATCTGTTCTTGGGGTGTCATGGAAAGACCACAAGACTAACTAGCAATTATATGAAAATCTCTCAAAAGTGTCAATTGTGTTACAAGAGAGGCGATTACGTTTTGTCGGACATTGTTGGAGAAGAAAAGACAAACTGATCTCCAAACTGCTTCTCTGGCAACCAACACAGAGCCAGCAGAAACCAGGAAGACCCTGTATCACCTATATGGACCAACTGTTAAATGATACTGGACTGGATTGCAACAACATCAAACGCGTGATGGAAAACAGAGAAGAATGGAAGAAACTGGTTAAAGATGTTCGAGGAAACTCGAATTAACTCAAGTAAGTCAGGTCCTTTGATGAAGCATCATACACTTACTTTTGTGGCCTCTGCATTCTCTTGAACAAAGTTAATTGAAAATGGCTTTGAAAAAAGCAACCATTTAGTAAACTAAAGGTTTTCGTCTGACACTCTTCAGAGTTTAAAACGTCAGACATTGTTTAGATGCATAAATTATATGAAATCAAAGATTATATGAAAATCTCTCAAAAGTGTCAATTGTGTTACAAGAGAGGCGATTACGTTTTGTCGGACATTGTTGGAGAAGAAAAGACAAACTGCTTCTCTGGCAACCAACACAGAGCCAGCAGAAACCAGGAAGACCCTGTATCACCTATATGGACCAACTGTTAAATGATACTGGACTGGATTGCACCAACATCAAATGCGTGATGGAAAACAGAGAAGAATGGAAGAAACTGGTTAAAGATGTTCGAGGAAACTCGAATTAAGTCAAGTAAGTCAGGTCCTTTGATGAAGCATCATACACTTACTTTTGTGGCCTCTGCATTCTCTTGAACAAAGTTAATTGAAAATGGCTTTGAAAAAAGCAAACATTTAGTAAACTAAAGCTTTTCGTCTGACACTCTTCAGAGTTTAAAACGTCAAACGTCAGATCAACAACTCTACGCTAAGAAATATATTTACCAGTTGTGGATCAAAATAGGCCAATCAGAAACACGAGCACATGACTGTAAAGGTTGACCAATCAGTGCCGCTTGCCTATTAGAATGTTACCAGTGGAGTCCTAAGGTGAAAACAAACTCCTTTTGTATACACAGTAGCGGTTTTTTCGTGCTTATGTAGATAGATTCTAAAACTGCTAGGTGGAACGACGACTGGGCTTTACCAATAATCCGAAACATGTCGCCATTATAGTTTTTTGAACAATCTGGGTTTTCTAGCAAATGCTGCCTGATAGCAGAATCGCAGGTTTTGGTAGTAATTTTGGATTTGCAAGACCGAGGTGGCTGTTCTCTTTGGGGATGTGTTTTGTTTCTAATATAAGATGGAATGTGTTGTTTTATGCTATCCTCCAATCTTTGGGTGGTGCGTCCTACGTAGCCAGAATCACACTGGCATGTAAATTCATAAACAACAGAATTTTTTTTTTGTGGCAGGAACGCAGTCCTTTTGAATGAACGGAAGGGCCTTTTTGTACTGTAAACAACACATGGGTTAACCGCGAAGAAACAATTTGTTATGGCCTGTTTTATTTGGCTTTGAAAACGTAGGGAGCAGTTACCGATCCAGGGTAGTTTTAGATAGACCAGGCACTTTTGAGGACCAAATTTTACGTCAGCCGAAAAATTTTCTATCTTCTCCTTAATGTAAACTGAAATAACATCTTCTGGATAGCCGTTCTCCAGAAAAATTTTAGTTAGCTTTTCAAGTTCTGAGTCGAGTTTAGACTTGGAACAAATCATCAGTGCCCTATGTGTAAGCGTTTCGATGAGGCTGATTTTTCTTTGTTTTGGGCAAAACAAACTCCATCGAGTGTATAACCCCGAAAATGTGGGTTTACGGTGTACACTGGTGAGAAAACCAGTGTCAGATTTTTCAACCAGAACATCCAGAAATGGCAAGGAGTTATTTTCTTCCTTTTCAAATGTAAAATGTAGGGCTGTGTGAAGACCATTAAGGCGTTTTAGGAAAATATCACACTCAGCCTCTGTTTTGAAAATAGTATATGTGTCGTCCACATACCGAAAATAGACACCTGGCTTTTGGTCGCAGTCAAACAAACGCTCTTCATGAAAGCCAACAAAGATATTGGCCAAGGCCGGTTCCAGTAGGCTACCCATAGCGACACCATCCTTTTGTTGGTGCATTTCATTGTTAAAGCTGAATTCAACTGAACGTGTTGCAGTTTCCGTCAGTTCAATGAATACTTCCTCTGGGAATGGTGGGCTATTAAGCTCGCTCCGGTACAAAGCGTTGGCACATATTTTGATGGTCTCATTCAAAGGGACATTAGTGAAAAAACTGCTAATGTCGAAAGAACACATGAAAGATGTTTCGTTTTCGATGTTCAAGTTTTGCATGAACTCAGCGAACGTAAAAGAGTCCTTGGTACAATGTTTTGAATATTTTTGAAGAACAGGGTCCAAAACTTCAGAAAGCCACTTAGCCAGTTCGTGTTGTGCTGAGCCAATCATAGACAAAATGGGTCTAAGTGGGACATTCGGCTTGTGTATTTTAGGGAGGCCATACATTTGTGGACGTTGTGAACCTGTGGGTCTTATCCTATCATAAACTTTGTTGGTCAACACTTTTGAGTTAACCAGCTCCAAAAGGCGTTTTCGAAGTTTCCGCTAAAGCTTGCCCGTATTATCCTGTGTTTCGACGTCACCCAATTTTTCGAACTTTTCTTTGTCGAGGAGAATATTCTCCATTTTTTGGATCTAGTCCTTTTTGTTCAAAATAACCACTCCTGACCCTTTATCAGGCTTAGTAATAAAGATGACATTATTAGACCGTAGAGATTTTAATGCTTGAATATGTTCTCTATGCAAAAGAAAATCTGAGTGGTCAATGGGAGAGCCACTGTAAGCGTACCCCAAATCGCTTAGTCCTGCTCGTAATTTGTTAAATTCCAAAGCATCAGAAATATCGTGTCTGGCAAATAGCGTGTAAAATTTCGAATTCAGCAAAAAGTTCCTCTCTGTTTATTTGTTGTGGTGGGATACAAAATTCAAGACCATTACCTAAGACAAATGTTTCGGTTTCAGAGAGAGAAAAGTCCGACAAATTAAAAATATGTTTTTTTGAATCACTCATCAAGCCGCCAAAACTTTTCCTAACTAGCATGCCAATGTTCCTATCATGTTTTTCTGTAGTCTGTTTTAGCTTCCGCTGGTCAATTTCAGGAAAGTAGCGGCAAAGTCGAAAATTATCAAAGAATGTGAGAAACAGACGCGTTTTAGACCATTGGCGTGTGTATAAACGTTTTAGATTCAGAATATTAGTTCTAGTTTTCTGAATTTCATCTTGTAGAAAAGCGCGCTCAATGGTTGGGCTGTGTCTAACACCAGAATTAGAAATACAAGCGGTGATGAATTTAGGTGCAACCCGATTAGTGAAACATAAACTGAGAAAGGATAAAGAGAACCTGGCCGATTCGGCTTACCTCTAAGCTTAACCAATGCGTTGAGATCCTCAATCTCTTCATTTGTGTACCTCTGCACCTCATTTGTGTACCTCAGCGGTTTCTTCGCGGTTAACCCACGTGTTTTTTACAGTACAAAAAAGGCCGACTGCGTTCCTGCCACAAAAAAAGTTCTGTTGTTTATGAATTTACGTGCCAGTGTGATTCTGGCTACGTAGGACGCACCACCCAAAGATTGGAGGATATGATAAAACAACACGTTCCATCTAATATTAGAAAAAAAACACATCCCCAAAGAGAACAGCCACCTCGGTCTTGCAAATCCAAAATTACTACTAAAACCTGCGATTCTGCTATCGGGCAGCATTTGCTAGAAAACCCAGATTGTGCAAAAAACTATAATGGCAACATGTTTCGGATTATTGGTAAAGCCCGATTGTCGTTCCACCTAGCAGTTTTAGAATCTATCTACATAAGCACGAAAAAATCGCTACTGTGTAGACAAAAGGAGTTCGTTTTCACCTTAGGACTCCACTGTTAACATTCTAATAGGCAAGCGGCACTGATTGGTCAACCTTTACAGTCATGTGCTCGTGTTTCTGATTAGCCTATTTCGATCCAAAACTGGGTATATATATTTCTTAGCGTAGAGTTTTCGATCTATGTTCTGACGTTTTAAACTCTGAAGAGTGTCAGACGAAAAGCTTTAGTTCACTAAATGTTTGCTTTTTTCAAAGCCATTTACAAGTTTTGTAACACCAAAAGATTGTTTAAAGTTAATTGAATGTGACTTGAATGTGACTTTATCCATGAAATCACCTTTTTTGCACATTTTCGTATTTCAACAGTAAACAACTTGATATTTTAACCTTATCCAGACTAGGCTCTTTGAAACTTTGTAGTGTTTGTAGTGAGACTTGTCCTTCTCGGTGCTGCTAGATCAGTTTTTGGTCCAGATTTATAATTTGGGGTGACTTTCCCCAATTTCCTAAGATCAGGGAAACACCATTCTCGACTGATGAGTTATATATGATTTAAGGTGCCTCGCTGTTGGAAGGGCAGTAGCCATGGATGCATTCTAATTTTCCTTATTTGGCTGGAGTTTTGGTATATCTTGAAATCTAACCAAATGTATTGCACTGTTGCGTGTTTTGGTCTTAGAGATAAAGTATTTATGCAAAGACGTTTCATGCAAGGTATAACACTGGTAAATTGGCTTACTGGTTTCAATATTCGCTAATTACCTGATTCCCCGATTCCAGAGCAATTAAATGGATAGTGTTTCAAACCACTAGCACCTATGTGTTAATCACTGGGGTGTGTTGGCTTGTCTGGTGCTAAAATTAGCAACAATTGCACACAAGTTATAAGTGCATTCGCAACTAATAGCAGGTCACTTTGGAGAACTGTCGGCGGAAATACCAGTAAGAAAATGGCAAGATTTGTGTCCAATTTCAATGAGTTCGACTCAATCACATTATTTGGGATATGCTGACAGTTCACAGAGAACATCCTGACACCATTGCTTGATGGAGGCAGAGTGGGCTTCTTGGGCGAAGGATGTTGTATGAGAACTACCACATAGAATGTATCAAGGGGGCCCTCAATAGATCCCTAGATGGAATGACATGGCAGTGCCCACAATGTCGGAGAAGATAAAACTTGAGGAAGGGTAGTTTTTATCGAGGCTCAAGTTATTGCAAACAATAGCTCTAACATATTTTTGGATCCTAGACTGTGGACGGAAGGACAGGCCTGTCCCAAAAGCTGAACTTAAAAGAACTGGATATCAAAAGTGAGCAAACAGTGGTGGACTGGGAACAATTCTGACGCAATGTCTGTGTGGAGCACTTTCTTAACAACCCTCAGCAAATTGGAGAACCTGGCCGAGTCGTCAAGATCAACAAGAGGCTGTTCTCCAAAAGAAAGTACAATCGCGGCAGAATTCTTCCACAAAATTTGTTCTTTGGAGGCTATGACGAGGTCAACAAAAAGGGGTTCCTGGTTCCTTGAAGGGATGCTGTGACCCTATTACCAATTATTCAAACGTGGGTAGTGCCTGGCTCAATTGTCTATTCGGACATGTGGCAAGCATACCACCAAATAGGAAACATAGGCTATCAACATCTGATTGTGAACAACACCTACAATCTTGTTGACCCAGTCACCAGTACCACTACAAATCATGTAGAAGCGATGCGGCAGCGGGCTAAAATAAATTCAAGTTTCAACAAATCAGGAGCTTATACCAGACTACTTGGCGGAGTTCATGTGGCTGCAGAGATTTAAGGACAGTTCATTATTTCATCTTTATCATCAAATTGCAACAGAACTGTATGATATAAGAAGAAAAGAACTTTAATATAAGAAACAAGTACTGGAAAATGATAATAACTTTATATACTTCAATTAAAGAAATTAAGGAGAGAAATGAACAAGTAATAAGCATGTGTTCCATAGAATTGACCTGTTAACATGAGGAAATCGAGGAAAGAAATGAACATGTAATAAGTGGGTGTTCAATAAAAATGACTCCCTTTCTTCTCCTATCAAAAGGCGCAAGTGACGGTAGATCCCCCACGCACCTTCTCTGACGCCGTTGTTTTTGCTTTTATGATAACAGTATTGTCATTAAGCTGATATCTTATTGTTTGTCTCGTCCTTTCTTCTCCTGAGATCAAATGAGTTAACCACTTCTTCTACATGTTATCTAGAGTGTTTGAGATCTATAAATACAATATTTTTCAATTACACTCAATTACACTCAATTACACCTCCATCAAGTGTCATTACACTGAATTTAAGTTTCTAACATCTGATACTACATTAAATGTTCTGTTTTTCTATGAGATATAAAATAAAATAACAAAGTGCATTATCACTAACCATAGAGCTTGTACTTTAATTTCAACAGATGGGAACAATGCTAATATCCAAAAGCATCACAAGATCTGCAGAGTGACTTTGGTACACAATCTACGGAAGTCATTGCTGCAAAATAACCATTAGCAACAATTCTGAAATTCATAAAAAGGGGAACAACCAATTATCGTTAGATATCTTTTAAAAATTTCACATGCAGGTGCGATTGTGAAGGTCACAATGAAAAGCTTGGCAGATGATAGAATGGTGAAATTTAAAATATCTGAAAACCAAGATGGTGACACTTCAACACACTATGTAAGTAGTTAAGAGACAACAATCTTTTCCATAAATTTATTGCCTGGCAAACAATGAAACAATTGGAAGAACTTTGTTGTAGTTGACTGGGCAGACATTTGTGTGACCCAAAGGGTTATTAAATGTAAATGTAATGATGATGATGATGTCACAGTCAAGGGGCATTTGCAGCTTTACTTCATGTGAGGTTATGAATGTATAAAATAAATATTGATGTTGAAACTCTATGCCATCAAACATCAACATGGTGATTTTCATAAACAATTTTTTAAGTGGTTTGATAGGAAAACGCTTTTTCTATGGATTTATTTAGAAGCAAATTATCTACCATTCAATATCTTCTTGTAACCATCTAGTTTCATATTCTGTTTTTATCTATACTTATTGTGACACTATGGCTAGAAAATAGTCAGGGCTGTTGGCCTCAAAATTTTGAGAGAGTTGTGCAAAATCGGATACCAGCATGAAACTTCATCCCCAAGGGTAGTTTTGGGCGCTGAACAAGATAAGATGCAGTCCCCAGCTGAATAATGCTTCCAAATGCTATTTTTAGACTGTTGTACTTGGTTCCAGGCCCCAAAAGCGTTAATTGTAAAAATACTGCTGCTATTTGTGATAGCATCATGAAAGTTAGAAGAAATGGGCAGGTCTTTTATTTTCTTACTAGCTCCCCTACGAAGCCCGCTACGCGTGCTTGCCAGTGGCCCAACGGTTGAATATTAGGATTAGCCTAAAAAGGGGGGAGCCTAAAAAGAAAGATGGGGTTGAGGCTCCCCCCTTCCTAGCGATAGTCACAAAAGTGCGAATTTAATTCGCACAGGAGTGCAAGCAATTTTTTATCACATGACCTCTCCTTAGTTTGGAATTGAGGTTTATGGAATCTAGGAATCGAACTAGTCTTCTGTTAATCGAAATGTGCATTCTTTCAATTTGATACATTACATTTGTCATGTAGAGGCAGGTTTGAAAGTTGCTTAAAAACATTTTGCAAGCCCGGTCTATTCATGGTTCTCATTTAAATATTTTCACGTGTTACCCTCTTTATTTCTCCTGTTTATTCTAATTGCAATGTTTTTAAGTTTCCATCTTTTTTTATCTCTTGATGAATCGTTGAAATACTTTGCAGGCTTATCTGAAAGCTCTGCTAATTATTCTGAATTCTACTTTAAAGCTTGACAACAACATGCTTCTGCCAGCCCCCACCAATTTTTTAACCTCATTGACACAATTTCATGGGTTATTCCTAAAAGTTCACCTATTTACTCAGAATCACATTTTAAAGTTCTCCAACAAATTTTAAAATTTTCTAGTCGTACACTCTTAGCCCTTGTCGACTTAAGGGGCTTTTTTTAAATATTTTCTAAGGTCATTCTTAGAGCTGTAATGTTCATTTTCAAGCACTTCGTTCAATCTTTGTTCACTTGTGATGCTGTTTTAAGGTATAATTGAGGGCCACCCTCAAAGCTCCCTGTTTATTCTGAATCAAATATTAAAATTTTCCAACACAATATTCCTGTTAGCCTTATTGGTGCTCGTTTAGATAAATATCATCTAAAAATTTCTTAAGAATAAAAATTCCTAAAAAAGTATGTTGATTCATAAAAATTTTCTAACGATTTCTGATCTTAACTCCAAAAAATTAAAATAATTACACAGTTATTTCATTTGAGGGCCTGGTATCATATCTTCGTCACAATTAGCTTTTGAAACACTGCAGCAACAAAGCACTTGAGAAATTGAAAGATAGAAAACAGCAAAAGTACCGTGCATCAGAAAGGGTTCTTACTCAAACAACAAATTAACAAAATACAATTTATAGACAACAGCTAATCTTCATAGATTTAGTCATTTTCTCCACAGTCAATGGTTTTTTCTTGTTTCTTTGTTCGATTTAACGCCAGCATAAATGCCATAAATTTCCTTTCGAAGGTGCAAGAATCACGTCTGCGTCATAATTATTGCTTGAAACGCTCTTTGGTCTAGATGAAGAACAAAAAAATAATGAAGATGTTATTCCATGGTTAATGAAAGCACGTTCTAAGAAAATCGATGGTCAAAATGCTTTGTAAAAATTTCAGAAAAAACGTTCGCCCGAGAGCTTAGCCACCCCTTTAACGACCGGTTTTTAGTGTAATTTTATCAAATTAAGCATAAAATCATTTGAAATTGTTCTTGTAAAGCGAGCAATACAGCAAATCCATTTACCTTCAAGGAAAAAACTACGAAGAGGTAAAAATTTAAGAGAAACACGTTCGTGGCGGGTCTAGCAATCCCTTTACCAACCGGTTTTTAGTGTAATTTCACCCAAAAAAGCATAAAGTCATTTGAAATGATTTCTAGAATGATTCATTTACAATTGCCATCATGCTGTCAAAGCTATAAATAATTTTAACTTGAGAGGCAGGCAAATCCTATTTGTCTCGGTGGGAAAATCTTGTAATCGAAAAATACTCACTTGTTGTACCAAAAAGTCAGCGAATCCGATCGTTCATCTACAAAGAAAGAAGGTGGTTAGGGAAAATTGCTGCAAAGGATTCTCGTTAGGCATAAAAAGTTAGGGGCTGGCATTACATAATTCGCATTACAACGGGTTTCCTATAAAAATAAAATTTTCTTGCATCAAGAATATTGACAGCAGTTTATTGTAATAAAACCAATCCAGTTTCCTTTTAGCACAAAAGCACGAGAAGAGGTAAAATTTTTTCGTTCGCGGCGGGGGTCTAGCGGCCGGTTTTTAGTGCAATTTCATCCAAATGAGCAGAAAATCATGTCAAATAATAAATTTCGAAAACACGTAAGAACAACAATGCTTACCTGTATTCGCATGCCATCGATTCTGATGCCAGTGAAGAAGGGGAACAGCCAGCAGCCATCACAGAACCAAAAATACGGGCAGCAGCGTGTGTACCCTACGTACGTAGCTACTAAAACGAAAAGGAAGATTGTCAAAAGCACGAATTACACGGCTCTTGCAAACGAAATAATAACAAACGGGGTTCAATCGTCGATCAATAAAAAACCAGTTGATAAAAAAAGCCAAGAGAGATCGAGAGCAGCCACTACTGACTGAAGCCTCAAGCTGTAGCACAGACCACGGCCGTCGAGGATCGCTTCGAGTTTGAAAAGGAATGCCAGGCAGCAGTGCACGTAGATTTATTAGCAGCTATCCTCTCCTCTATCTACTAAAAATCCAATGATTCCTTTGTGGAAAGCAAAACTAATTTGAAAAGCCTCCGTTCAAATTGAAGGGTTGCTGGAGAAAAAACTTTTGAAATCTTCTGTAGAGAGCAAGAGAAAAGAGAGAGAAAGAGCCTTTAGAAACAGGGGACAAAGACCACGGAGAGCACTAAGGGACAAAGAAAACACGGGACAAAGAAAAGGCGAAATATCTCGAGAACCAAGGCACCAAAAAAACGTACTACCCTCATTCTGTTAGACGAATTATTCAGCTTGAATTTAAAACCTTTTCAGGGAGAGTGCACCCTGCCCTTCGGGCAGGGGAGGGGAGTCATTGGAGGCGACTGTGGATCTTTTGTTCGGGTTCATTTGCATAATAGGAACATTAGTATTAGTAGATGTAAATCATCAATGTCTTTCCCAGAATATTGCAGACTGTTCTTGATGTCAATAACGTCACTTTGGAGCTGTTTAATCTCTGTTTTCATTTCATTGGAAAGCATTGTGACAATCTCCAAAAGCTCTTAGCACACAGCAAGTGTAAAATATTCAGTTATCTTGGTATAATAACAATGTATCTAAATATTTTTTCAGTTATCTTGGTATAATAACAATGTATCTAAATATTTTGTCAGGCTCATTAAGGACTGACTGAATTTACATTTTCTAAAAAGCACAAAAAGGCTCTAAACTGCCATCACTTATCAGATGCTCTAGCAAAATTGTCGGACCTCAGAGAAAAACGTGATTTGACTCCGCCATCTTGAGAATTGTTATTATGACTCTTCAAATCTTTTTGGCCACAGTGAAGGATCACTAAGTATGAACCATCAAAGACTTCTAGTGTTGCAAAGAGATCACAGCCTCAATTCTCTCTGAAACTGTCACCATTAATTCTCTAGCAAAATTTATGTGATTCTGCTCTACTTCCTCCTAATCTCTCAAGCTCCAAGTGTATAGCTTATCTCTGAGGCCCTTAGTTAGGGATTTCGTTATGAGCCAGCCTTGAAGAAGAGTCACTCCATGGTAAACACTGTCAGGTTTCAGGGTTTTCGCTACTTTTTTCCATCTTGGAATCGAACCAGGCACTCCATTGCTCATTTTCTCCATCTCCTGTTTAACTTTTGGCCACCAAAGATTCAGTTTCCATACGTGTGTACCGAATAATTGGACACGAAGCTTGAGATCCACTTTTGGCTTCAAGGTGTCAAGAAAAGCTAACAGATCCGATAAAAAACCTGTCCCTTAATCATAAACTCTTTTTTGTCATATTTGGATGCAATACATTGAATGCCTTCCAAAATGCTTCAAGGCTGTTTACAATTTTCAACCATTCGTCATACAAGGGACAAAAACCAGTTGCCTGATATGGCCTGTCTGCAGCAACACCACACGATGTTGACAGCACACCATCGGAAAAAATAACTTTGTTAGTATTTAGCAATAGTTCTGCAAGGTATTCGTATGTAGCTGTTTCCAAATCAGCATACATTTTAGGTGATCCAACCGGTAGAAGCGAAGGTAAACCATTTGCATCACGTGCAACAATAATGGTGGCCTGGTTTCTTGTTCGAGCTGGCGTTCCTTTATCCACTATGGCCCAGAAATGTAGTGGTATGGTGGTTGATGGCAATCAAGCATAAATAATCAAAACAGGAGTTCTTTTGGTGATACCAGATGGAAATATGACCTTGCAAAAGAACACAGGTCTTCTCTCCAAAAGAAAATGTCAAATTTTCTGGTTTCATATTGCCTTTAAAAGTGTGGAATTTTGTAGTATTGGCTTTGTGCAATGTGCAGTTGATAACAGGGTAAACATCTGAAATCAATCAACTTTGTTGCTTCGGCCAATTCTACGATATTTTCCACCTCTCTTATTTTTAAAATGGATGTTTCACTATCCTCACATGCTAGTTGGGTCTTTTTTTATGTTTCCTGCCAATCTCATCAACTTTGAGCGTCAGATTTGCAATGGCACCCATTACTGTTTGCAAAGTTGCTCCCATATCGTCAGTGGAGTTTCCTTGAACTTCATCAAGATTGATTGATTTTGGGGCCCAAATATTCACCATATGAAGCAAGTGGTTCAAGAGGATCGACTGCTGGTGAATTGTTTACATTTGAAACCTCAGTGTCCATGGACGATTCATTGGGCTGGTCTGTTTCTTCTTTGGTCTCCAAAGCCATCTCCCCTCTGATATTTATTATTTCCAACATTGTCTTTTGAATCGCAGGCACATCAACATCCCTGGCAGTCCGCTTTTTTTATTTTCCATACTTCTTACGCATTGCAAGTATTCCAGCTGCATCTGATAAAACTAATGTGCATTTTCACTTTTTGGGGGCAATGCCTTCTGGATTTATGTTGTCTCTTCTTCTTGTGGAGGATTATGCAGTTTTGGCACAGCTTTACAGAGAAGAAAACGCTTCTTGTGTTCTGCATTAAAGTCACCTAGATTGGATACTAATGATTTCAAAAAACAGGAAGGATTGAAATTTAAAGAGCACAGAAAAGGTCCTTTGCTGTACCTTTCTGGATCAATATTTACACGATATCATTGCACAAATGCAGTCCATTTGCTCCTTACTTCCAGGTTCTTTAGGAAAATGATGCACCGACAGTACCACTACTACTGGTGCATGGTTTCCAGTTTGCCAGTCCTGCTACACAATATTGACCTCTGCGATGATGAGTCTCCACAGATCTTACTTCATTCTCCATTCAAGAATGGATACTTGTAAATCAAACTTTGAGTACAAACAATTTGCTGACCGGCTTTCAGAAAGGGGCCTAAGTTGAAGGTTGTTTATTCCGATACAAATGCTCACCTAGTCTGACTACAATGTTAGAATGGATTCGTTGTAGACTGAAATTCTCTAGCCAGTATACTTTTTTATTGATATTTGCCAAATTCTTGCACACTTACCACTAATAAAGCCTGATTTACAGGTTTCTCAATCCTTTTGTGAAGTCATAAACTCGCAAAATCATTTAAAATTGCGTTTCCCAAGGTTTATTTGTTGTGCATTCAATTATCTTAACACCCTCTTCTCCAAGGTTGACAATACTTCCTTGCTTGAGATTTCACAATAGATAAACCGTATAGTACATATTAGGGGAGATGTTTACATTCTGTCCAACACTTGCGTCACAAGCCTACAAAGCAGTGACTTGACTGCATTTTTGCGCCACCATAATTTTGATAACTTTTTGCAACTCTAGCCGCAACTTTGTTGTTGTGGTGTATTTTACAATTGATTTGGATTCTGATAAGGATGTTGTTGATCTTGACCCATCATAAGTTGAACAAGTTGAGGTTCATTGAGGTCTTCCTTTCTCTGCCTCTTCCTTTGCAAATTTCAAAAAGGCTTTCATTGGATCTTACTCTACAGCTCTCTTGAGCATTCCAATTACCTCCTGTTCGACCGATCTAATTGTTTGATTTCGTATTTATCTCCAATTCCAGCCATGCTCGATCAAAGTTACCTTTATACCTATATCGACGAGATAAATGGAAATCCAAAACATTAAATTTTATTATGCAGTGGTTTGGCCTGGGCCCATAGCCTGTTGTGTTTTGAGAGTCTAGCGACTTGTTCACTGCGAAACATATGACTAATATAACTCTATGTGACACGTGAAAAAATGTTCTATCTCAGCAATCATTAGAACTTTCTAGACGCTTCTAATTAGCTAACAATAGAGCAGCAAGCAATCTACTCTAACTACGCGTCCTAGACTAGCTACTAATTACAAAGATCATAAGCTTACTTACAAAATCAGCATTTACATAACTGTTGAGTGCAAGTTCCCAACAAGTTCAAGTGATAAAAACTGCAGTCTAGTGTTGCCAATGTTCCAGGATGATATTAAAGGTAGATTCTGTCACTTATCTGTTGAAGGCAAAGGTCAAAATATTAGTTTGTTGGGTTTGATGAAAATCAATGATACGTACCATGGGGTGGTCAACTATTTCTCAACTTATAATCAGCTGCAATACATCTGAAATTGCATAAATTTTAATGGAATCTTATGCCATTAAGAGAAGATGGAGCTTAGTTTTGATGGTTGAATAATTTTTTTGTGACCAGGGTCCATAAATGTTCAAACTCTGGACATCTTTATCAAACAGAATAAACAAGTATTGTTAAAATTATACAGCAGTCCTGAATTTCGTTTTGATATTTGTAATTAGTTTTTCTCCGTGTTTTTACTTAATGTTTTCCTTTATCCAGCCCTAAACCTTTTTGACAGTCCTTTTTTCACTGGTCTAAAAATTCCTAGCTTGTTATAGTTTGAGGTCATTACCGTATCCTCTCCTTCCAGCTTTCAATTGTAATCTAAACAATGAAATAAGCCTTTTTCACGATGGCGTAGCACGCACAGCGTTGTAATCGAAAACGAGGCTATTGATGTTCCACATCTTTAGTGTGCTTTGACGACTGTTGTTACTATCTACTTGTCTAAAGTGGAGAATAAAGTAGTTTCTGGTAAAGAAAATGAATCGAGAAAGAAAAAGAGATCTCTTGGAAGACAGTGCGCCGCTTATGAATGCTACAACAATTTCTACCAAACTGACGGTTCGCCTTCGGGCCATCACTTTTTCAAATTTCCTCAAGCCAATCCAGCCAAGTCTTTGTGGTGCAATCGCATAAAGCGTGAGATGGAATGGATGGATTTAATGTCACAAACAGTACCTTTCTTTGTGATAAACACTTTTTGGATTCCGATATTAAGAAGAATCCGAATCGGTGGTCTCTGAGGCAAGGTGCTGTACCGTCGTTGCATCTCCATGGCGCAGCAAAGCCAAAGCCATCCCGTAAGTCTCCAACTAAATGTCAATTAATGCCTTCATCAGCTAGTGCATCTTATATACCTGACTATCCTGGCGAAGAAGATTCATCTCTTTCTGATCATGCTTGTTTGTCGACAACTGTTTCAGTTTCTTCTCAAACAGATTTCTCTTATGTGAATTCTGTGCTTTGCATTCCATCAGCCACTGGTAACCTATCTGATCCTGATCTTCAATGTCCTGATGATGTTGCCACAGAGAATGATCTACTGAATATGTGCAAGCATCATGAATCTCTGGCGTTATCTGTCACTTCCTTAACACAACAAGTTCATGACCTTGAACAGCAACTAGCACAACTGAAAAGCACCCTTTTTACTATTGAAAAACTGAAGAATGATAATGCTGCAGTTAAATTTTACACAGGATTTCCAAATTTTGGATATCTCAATGCTGTCTTTGAATATTTTGAGCCTAAGTTAGAGCGCATGAAATACTGGCGTTGTCCAAAGTCTACAAGAAACCCTGATCCTTCATACCAACAAACTAGTACTTCATCAAAGCCTGGTCCTTCCCGTAGCCTCAGCCATCTAGAAGAATTTGTATTAGTATTGATGCGATTGAGAGTTGCCTTATTCATGAATGATCTGGCAGACAGATTTGGAATTTCTATTGGTCATGCGTCTAAAATATTCACTACTTGGATAAATTTTCTTTTTCATGAACTCCCTCTTCTATTTCCATTTCCATCACAAGAACGAATCAGAAATAACATGCCTGAACAATTTAAAGAATACCCCACAACTAGAATGATTATTGATTGCACTGAAATATTTTCTCAAGTTCCATCGTCTCTCAAATCAAAATCCCAAATTGGTCTGAATATAAACATCACAATACCTGGAAAGCATTGATTGGCATCTCTCCCACTGGCTGTATTACTTTTGTTTCTAAACTGTGGTCTGGAAGAGTTTCTGACAAAGAGATTACTGCGAAGTCTGGTATTTTGGAGCATTTGGATAATCTTATGGTGATAATCTTATGGCTGATAGAGGGTTTGATATTTCTGATATTCTTCCTGCTGGTGTTACTCTCAACATCCCTTCTTTCAAAGGTAGTCGACCACAGCTAACTGCTCAAGAAGTAGAAGACACTGCTCGTATTGCTTCTGTAAGGATACATGTTGAGAGGGCTATTGGACGTGTAAAGAACTTCCATATTCTTGATGGAGTTATGCCACTCACATTGCAACCACCTTTCAATCAAATTTTTTTCTGTCTGTTGCCTTTTGACTAATTTTCAGCCATTTTTGGTTTCTCCTCCTTGAAAAATTTTTCCTTACTTTAAAAATAACCCTCTTAGTAGACCTGATAGTGTTTTCAAAAAGTATTATGAAGAAATGTATTATTAGCCTATCACCACTGTCAAACAATTTTTCTGTAATGTATCTTGGTTAAAGGCCATCTCAGTATAGGACTTGAAAATAAAATATTGATATTGATAGTATTAATAATAACATTACTTACAATATGTCTTAGAATATATCAAAGTTACTACTGTAAATACTGCTCAATGTGGCCGGATTTGGTTGCATAAAACAAGAATATATATATATATATCTGTTATTATTACTTCTAAGAATGTCAATCTTTTCCAGATGGCTTGCTATTAAATGATGATATGCTAGATGTTTACTATGATATTACTAATCCCACTTAGACTTTCTCTTTTCAAAATTCTTCCAACCACCTTGCAAATATAATAAAAGACCACGTTCAACTCTTTTTGTGAAAAATTCTGGCAAAACAGCTCGGCAATACAAAAACTCCAACTGAGGCAAAACAAACTTGGACATGAAATTCTCGTCAGAAAATATGGTTTCAACAAACAAAGGTTCTCCATCACCAAACCAAACAACAAAATCAGTTCTCATTATATCAGCACAAAACATTTGGCCCTGAACTTGGTAATAATACTTGTGGCTTCTCTTTAACTTGACTTCACCTTCAGTAATCTTCAAAAAAAAATCTTATCCAAAAGTGCCTCCTCCAGCTTTGAATTATATTTGGAAAAAGGACATTTGATTTCCAAGCCCCAAATTTCACCATCACAAGACACTATTCCATCCAACGAAGCACCTAGGTATGGACGAGACTGAGAAACCTTCAAACCCACCTCCTCAACATTAACATTATAACCTTTTTCATAAAATGCTTTACAGTAAAGATCTCTAACATGTCCTTCAAACTTGTTACCATGGTTAGTGCTTGCTGAATGAAATGGAGAATAAAACATTGATTTTAGTTTGGATGATGGTTCCACCCTGTTGACTGCAGCTGAATAAAAATTAGAGGCAGTAATTCTGTACTTCCTTTGCTCCATCCATTTCTTATTGAGGCTTTGACCAGATGTCGACTGTTCAATGGCACGTATTTCTTCAGGAGTGGCTGACATATTCTGACAATAGATATCCATCATTTCTTTAAAAGAACTAGTTGAAATATCATAGAAATCAGAAAAAGCACTGTCTGAATCAGAAAGTTCAAAATCTTTGCTTGATGAAGTGGTTGGTTGATTTGGTAGAGAAATAGAAGTTTCCTTGTCATGAAAACCAAAGTAGCAGCTGTTAGGAATTAGTGAAGAAAGTTTTGATGTCAGAATGACAACACTGTTCTCATTCACTTGTTGATCAGCAATGGCTCGTGGATCATAAATATTATATTTGGAAACCTGCGATTGATTATCTATTCCAAATTTGATCTTTTTAATGACAACTTCATCTATTGGCATTGGATTCACAATTTGAGATGCACTTGGGACATTCCAGGAGGACAACATTGAAGTGCAAGAAACTGGTTCAAGACATTTCTGCAAACCTTTTCTGTTGAAAACTTCCAAAGCAAACAAAACTGCACCAACATGATTACAGTTTCCAAAACCTCCCAAACCAATACCAGCAGGACACGTACATGCAGCAGTCAGTACATCACCAGAAGTGTTGGAAATTTTTAGAAAATTTTTATAAAGAGTTCTTTTCATAGAAGCCTTTATGCGCACATCAAAAAAGTGAAATTTTGATCTCTGGCAATATCAATTTTTCTGATGAAACCTTCATAGAAAAATTGAATGCCTTGAACTTCTTGTATGCAGTGCTCTTCAATAAAATATGCTTGAACTTCTTGGTGCGAATGACAAGATATTCGTATAGCTGGACAAAATTAAATGGTGGTGTTCCTCTGAGGTCAGGTGTCCATAGTAGATTCGAACAGAACTTGTTGAAAAAAAATTGATATGTCCAAGCGTCAGAAGAAAGATCAGGGGATGAGCCATCAACTGAAATAGCAGTGCTTGAGTTTGTAGGATCTTTTACTTTACAAAATAGAGCATAGACGCGAAGAACAAGATCAGCCTTAGCGCCAGATGACTTCTCGCGATGCCAAACTAAAACATTCTTCAGCTCTTTCACGGAAAACGAGCCTAAATCTTCCAAACAAGTTCCAGATTCACCTTTAGGAAGTGTTGGTATAAACTGATCCATAGTTGAAATTTCAAGAGATTGACGAGATACCAATGAATTTAACTATAAGAATATTTAATACAGGGACTAGCAGTCAGATGAATGAGTTCTTGAGTTTGAACATCAATAGCCTCGTTTTGGATTTCGACACATGGCCAGCTACGTCATCGTGAAAATGGCATATTACGAGAATAAGGTTTCTCATGATATCTTTTTTTCAACTTTCTAACACAGTGAAAGTGCCAGAGCAACAAAGACAGATATTGGTTGTAGGCGATATATAAAAATGTATTATTGTTATTTTTGTGGCATAGAGACAGCTAAATTACAGAGACACTTGCAAACATAAGGATTAGCCATAAGGATGAGCCAGAAGTTCTTCAAATTGATGCAATAGCTGATGAAAATTTAAAATCTAAAGAGCTTGATCGCATCAGACTTGAAGGCGATTTTTATCACAACTTAAATGTGATGAAGTCTGGTGGCATGCATAAAGTCATAAGGCGCCTTAATCCAGATGAAAATGTTTCTTTTCGTCAGTTTGTGCCTTGTACACACTGCCTTGGTTTTGTTCAAAGCATGAACTATGGAGGAACATTGCTAAATGCCAGTTTAATGAAAAAAAGCTGAAGATGATTCTAAGCATTCCAAGCTGCGATTTGAAAGTGAAATGCTCCTTTATGGGAACAAAGATTCCCCAAAACGATCATTTGTCATCTCAAAAAATTCGAATGGCTTTGCGGCAAAAAAAACATAGAAAAAACAGAATGTAGAGATATTCCTGGAGTTGCTTGATTCAGAATGGTCAACAAAGAACGTTGCATAAGAACGTTGCCCTTGTGAAATTTTTGCTTGATTCCGGATGGAATATGTATTTACCAACAAATTTTGCCAATATCGAGTGGAACAATAATTTGTTAAGCAGAGGGCGATTGGAAGGAGATCTAACAATCCAACAATTCGAATCTTTGGTTTCAATGACGATAAGATCAGAATACAGAGATCAAATTCAAAGGTTCCAGGAAACACCCAGAGAAGCAGCACAAATTCAAACCGTTGGCGTAATGTTGATGATACCAAATTACCTAGACGTAAATGTAAATCTCCAAAGTAAGTTTAATTGGAGTTCTAACTAGACTGACATTGCAAAGATCAATAAATAAAATGTTTTGTTTTTTTTCTTTTGATTAATCATTTGAAAAAATTTTTGAATAAAAGTAAAGAAATTAAACTCTCTGGATTACAGCAAGAAGTCACTGTGAAGAACGTTTTTCCATCTTATAGGAATATTTTTTTTCCTGAATTTAGTTGGAATATCCCTTTTAGCTTAATATGTCAAAAGACTGTTAATTTACCCTACAATACATACATTAAAAGTAGCAAATAGAAAAAAATTACATAATTGCTACATAATAAACAATACATAATTGACAAAAAAGCAACTCTGGTCTTTTTTGCATTGACATCACATATGAAAAAAGTGTGAAAACATTAGAAAGAGAATGGAAAAAATAAGAGTTTACTATGAATATAATCATTTACGAAAATGCTTTTTTTACATTTAAGAGGTGATGCTTCCTTTAATGTCCAGTTACACCTGATGTTTGTTAACAGCTTTATAAAAAAAATTTTATCAGAAAAACATTAATCCGCACATGACTAGTGATTTAGATTTTCGTTTAAGTTCTTTTCTTAATGATTTCGTTTTAGTTCTTTTCTTAATGATTTTGAAATCTTCTTTACCTTGTACCTGTTGATCCTTGTACCTGCCTTGTACTTGCCTTGTACCTGTTGATTTGCTTTGGCATACAGTATCAAAGCTTGGTTCAAAACGTCTTTTGCCACACTTTCAGGAACCTTAATTTCAGCATAACCTAGGCACTGTCAAAAAATGATTACAATTTCATGGTTCTTAACGAGAGTATTAATATTTCCTTTCCAGTCCTTACAATGTGACCTCCCGATGTCAGGTTTTTGAACTGGATTTCTGCAACTGTAAAAATTTGCTCAACTTCCTTGCTGATTCTCCAAAGGCCTTCTCCATTAACGCAATCAACAAGGTTATGTGAAGCAGTTGAATCTATGCCTTGCTTTCCATATTGAAGCAAAGCAATGGCCTGTTGGCTTGGTTTAGTTTTCCATTTGGAGGATCTACCCAGATGCTGGTTCAGACTAAACAGCACATAGCCACTGATATTGCAAGGCTGAGTTTTCTTTTACTGATAGACTTGTAGAGGTTTCTCTTACTATAGGAAGTTGAACTTTCCTCTTCTGCTTGATAAATGATACAATTTTGTCTGCTAATCTTGTGGCTAGAAGAACAGATGCTATCAAATCAAGTCCAGGAAAAAATTCTACTGCATGTATTGGCACTGATGCAGAAAAAATTCAAAAATTTTTTTGATATTGCCATTTTTTCAAAACATAAATATAGTGCCCTAATTTTTCCAAACATCACAAACTCTTGAAGGTCCTGATCTTGAGGAGAATGAAGAAATTTATAGCCGCACTCTGTACTAATTAAATTTATATTCCTTGAACCCATTCCTCACAACTTCAGGGTAGCATTTGTCTTCACCAAGGATCTCAACACAATTATTTACCAGCTGACAGTAATCTTCAATCAAAAATGAATCTGGTTAATTTTTGTCAATATCTCGATGCTTTGTATTTTTGTGCCTTGATAGACCGCCCTTACTTCTACACTTTTTACCACAAATGTCACAGCAAAATCCACTCACTTCAAGCTCCAAAAGATAAAAATAGAGAGAAGATTTAGAATAACTGTAAAATAATGGAAGGAACTTAAGTGTTGGAAACAACAGATACTATGAAAATCATAGGCAGGGCTACCTGCTTTTCAACAACCAAAAATTGAAACTTCATCTGTTACTGATCAATTATTTTGGAATGGCCACGTAGGAAGTCTGATAAGAAAGCCTGAATAAAAACACTCTAGGAAAATTCTTTGAAGAGATACCTATGGCGATCAATGCTAAAATTGCACAATTTGAGTGTCAAGGATATTTAAATCATTGCTGAAAGTCTATGCGTACTGTTTTATATTAACTGCTAAGAACTTCAGATTAAGAATCTAAATATATTCTATCCAACCAATGACTCAGTTGTAACAACACAGCCCAGACCTTCAAATTTATATGGTGACAACATCATCGCTTTCTCTTTTTTGTGCTCAACAAAAAACTGTTTTATATTAACTGCTAAGAACTTCAGATTAAGAATCTAAATATATTCTATCCAACCAATGACTCAGTTGTAACAACACAGCCCAGACCTTCAAATTTACATGGTGACAACATCATCGCTTTCTCTTTTTTGTGCTCAACAAATCTTTATAAACATTTCTAACTTCCTTAGCTCTTAAACAGCATTATCAAATAAATCCTGAATCACGAGTTCATCGTCTAAAAAACCTGATTCAAAGAGCTCCATAATGATATCAAGATCATCGCCTGAAATCATATCCTCCTGCATTGCCGTAGCCATTTTAAAATTTTGTGTGCACGGTGATGGGTCATATGATATCTAAAACTAATCATAGCAACATGCATATCGGTGCCCTTTGATCTTTGTGCTCTTTCTAGACCAGAGTATTTTGAATGACTATGGCTGAATGCAGACGACACGAAAAGGATCCTGCCAGGAGAATATGTTGCTCTTCCACAGAAACACAAGGAAGCTAGACATGTAGTTTACTGCTTTGGAGTTTACATTATATGCAACTCTATCCCTTCATTTACAGAAACTGATGAAGCTGCTTTTAAGACATGGATGGCTATATTCAAAACAAGATATTTGAAGGAAAGGAATCCACAAGCAACAAACTACCCGGGAAAAATCTATATACAGTGCTTCCATTTGTGCACAAGTAAATTACGTTTTTCATGACTATATACTGTTTTTCAAGTTACGTCTGCTGATCAACCGCCAAAACGAAAGAAATCTGGTGCAGAAAACAGAAAAGCAAAATCTGCAAGAAAGGAAGATGAGAACAAGCTTGGTGTTGCGATCATGAAATACTTTAATGGAGGGAAAAATGAGTTAAGCAAAGAAATGCATGAAACTGAGGAAGCAGCAATAAATATGAAAGTTATCACAGGAGAAGAAAACTGCTTGATTGAGCTTGAGAACCTGAAATCTAAGGCTACAGGAGATGATCCTGCTTCAATGTCATATAATGTTTGTATCAGTGATACTAAAAGCACAGTTATCAATTCTGACCCAGATTATGATTATGCCCCTGAAGAAGGAAGCAGAGAAGATATAAATAGAAGCTATGAGTTTTAAAAGGCAACAGTCAATTCTGTAGAGAAAATGTCAAATTCAAGTGAAAAAATTGTATAAGCTTTCCAATTAACCAATCGATATCTATAGACGCGGATCACCATACATTCTACCCTGCCTCAATCGTTGGTTTGAATCTTAAGATTGAAGAAGAAGCTCTGCTTATCCAGATGGAGCCTTACCGGCACAAAATGCTTAAAGCGCACCAAGGTGATAA